ACTTTAATGTCACTTTAACCCCATAAGGACCCTTTTGCTGTCAAGACCTTTTTTGTTTCTTCTTTTTTCGCTCATGATATAATCCACATTTTAGGCCTGAAAATTACTTAAAAACCCAAACATTACATACCGTATTTTGCGCTCCATAAGGCGCACCCGACCATAGGACGCAGGGAGGTCCGGTGCGCCTTATGGAGCACTAAACAGACCGGAGCTTCTGGACAGAAGCTGTGACCGCTGCAGTTAGTGACCGCTGAGACAGGTGGCGCTGTGATTACAGCGCCAAGGTCTCAGTGATCACACAGAGCAGACGAAGAATGCCCGTTCTTCGTCTGGTCTATGGTGATCTCGATCGCCGCCGCTCGGTTTTAATACGAGTGATCTGATTAGATCACTCGTATTAAACGAGCAGCGGCACCTACTGTACATTTATCTCTGCTTTAGCAGGGCTAAATGTACAAAAAACTACGCCCGGCGATAGGGAAACTAACCCTGTATGTCGTATAATTTTGATTTCATTTCTGCGCATGCAGCTACCTCTTTCCTGATGGTCGCAACCAGAACCCAGATCTGACAGGATTGTGTGAGCCCACCCCTCAGGACCACATCAAAGTTACTCAGGTAATCTTTCATATGAAGAGTTTTTTCTTGTAAGGGTTATGTGGCTAGTTTTACATAGTCTTTTCATTCGAACGGGTCCAGATTATATGACTGAATAAAAATACATTTTATGAATTTGAGTAAAATGAAGACTGGATTTATAGGAACAGCCATTGCTTTGTTTAAAGATAGATGCTCTAGGACTTGAATTTCTGTTCCCAATTTTACTTCTAATGAATCACTGCCCTGAAATAATTCTGCTGGATAAGAGCATAGACTTTTCAAACTTCACTGGCTGCATGCATGTTCCAGGTCAGTGCTTTGCTAGGTAGTGATGCCAGTGGATGTATAACAGCCCCGGAGCATGCATCCTAGCAAGTGCCTTTTAAAAATAAAAAATTAATTATGGTTATTTGTATCCTGACTGAGCATGTGAGTGTGGTGTGAAGGTCACAGCTGAATCGAGTAATCTCTTTTTGTGTAAATGTACCGTATCATTTGTGTGTAGCTTGTAGAATTTAATTAACACGTTTTATTTTTCTCCCCAGGAGCAGTATGAGCTGTATTGTGAAATGGGCTCCACTTTCCAGCTCTGCAAGATATGCGCCGAAAATGATAAGGATGTTAAAATTGAACCATGTGGGCACTTAATGTGCACTTTGTGCCTCACCTCCTGGCAGGTAAGTGCAATATTTTATGTTGTGCCACCTCAGATTGTACTGAAAATAATTTTCACTTGCTCATACTGGTGCACTGTTTTTTGTTTTCAGGAATCAGAGGGTCAAGGCTGCCCTTTCTGCCGTTGTGAAATTAAAGGAACAGAGCCTATTGTTGTGGATCCTTTTGATCCTAGGGGAGGCAGTATGGCGGAAATGTTGCGGCAATGTCTAGAAGGAGTACCTTCTCCCTGTTATGAAGATGATGATGATGATAGTGGAAATGACTCCCTCTTTATGTTGGCAGGGCCCAAGGTTTGTGCTAAATTCATTCTTCCCAAAATTAAGAAATAATATACGCAGATGCTTCCTGTCTAACTGCTTATACTTAACACTGTTTTTAGGTTGAAAGACCCCCTTCACCAATGTCTGCTGCACCCCAAGCAACCTTGCCACCTGTGCCACCTCGTTTAGACTTGCTGCATCAGAGGGCTCAAAGTACCCAAGGAGCTTCAAGCCCAGTTGCCAGCTCCAAGGTGAGGCTTTTATTCTGTTAGCAATTTTCGCTTCCATAACAAAGTTATTGTTTGAAATTGACATAATCTTGTTCACTTTGTCTTTCAGGCTCCTAGCAGTTTACATCACAAGGACAAACCATTGCCTGTTCCCCCAGCACTTCGAGAACTTCCCCCACCTCCACCTCCAGACAGACCACATTCAGTTGCCGGTGAAAGCAGACCCCAGAGGAGACCTCTTCCATCAACTCCTACAGACAAGCCACTTCCATTTTCAGCAAGCCGTCCTGCAGATCCTTGGCCTACCCGCTCTGTACCCAAAGTTCCCCCATCTAGCCTTGCAACCAATGATCCGTGGACTGTTGGAAAGGAGCTCACCAACAGACATTCACTGCCCTTCACATTGCCTTCACATGTTGATGAGAGAAAAGACCGACATGGTAGCACACTGAGCTTAGACAACGCTGCAACAGTAAGTTATAAGCATAAAACAACTAAAGGGTACTTTTTTCTTTTGGTCAGATTTTGCGATGAAGTAAATGTTTGTAATTTGCAATCCTGTGTCTGTGTAGGAGCTTTGATTTTCCAATCTTATTTTCTGTATTCTAGCTTTATTTATTTATTTTTTTTTACCATCTGTTCTTAGTAGACACATTCTTCTTTTGCAGAGTGCCAGTGTGGAGATGTTAGCAAGCCTTGACATGGATGATCCCAAAGTGAAGTCCTCTTCATCTGCTAATGCCATCTACGCTTTGGCTTCAAGGTGTGCATTTTAGAAGACTATTTCCAATACATTTTGTCAGTTATTAGTTAGATAGTGAGGGATGTAATAACCAACATGAATGGTTTAAGACAGTGTTGTACATTATGTAAATATTTTTCTTTAAAATATATCTTAACCCAAAAACAAAAATGTCATCTCTTGTCCAGTGGTAGACACAGAAAGTCATCCTTCAGTTATACTGCTGCCTACAGGAGAATAGGATGCTGGCATACAGGAAAAACTGTAGGATAGCCTCTCCTCCTGCCAGTATGCCTCAGTTTTTTTGCTATTTTCCTATGAGAGTGGATGTCTTTCTTCAGCTGTGCTAAATCTTTTGCTAGCACATTTTTTTTAATTTTTAGTCAAGACTATTCTCCATTGTTGTTGGAGCTTTGTCTCTTAGATTGCAGCTATCTGGCACTGTTGACCTTGGCCTGCCTTATGGAGAACTACTGGACAAAGTGGAGCCTGATAGTGACCTCCAGGCACTGGGCTTTACATAGGACGCTTTCCAGACTCTGTCTGGTGAAAGTTAGCTGCTGAGTGCTTGCCATGTCTACAGCCGCTGCCAATGCCTCAGTGCTTGCCCTGTCTCTGAACACTCTAATGAGTAGGCCAGTCGGCTCGGAGACTGGTATCTACCTCACTTAAGCTGTTTGGTGCCATTACCTCCATCCATCCTATCCTCACCTGCTAAAAGCAATCTGGGTTTTGTAAGTACCCGAGGCCCTGCCTCATACAGTGGGGCAAAAAAGTATTTAGTCAGCCACCAATTGTGCAAGTTCTCCCACTTAAAAAGATGAGAGAGGCCTGTAATTGGCATCATAGGTAGACCTCAACTATGAGAGACAAAATGAGAAAACAAATCCAGACAAATCACATTGGCTGATTTGGAATAAATTTATTTGCAAATTATGGTGGAAAATAAGTATTTGGTCACCTACAAACAAGCAAGAGTTCTAGCTCTCACAGACCTGTACCTTCTTCTTTAAGAGGCTCCTCTGTCCTGCACTCATTACCTGTATCAATGGCACCTGTTTGAACTTGTTATCAGTATAAAAGACACCTGTCCACAACCTCAAACAGTCACACTCAACTCCACTATGGTGAAGACCAAAGAGCTGTCGAAGGACACCAGAAACAAAATTATAGACCTGCACCAGGCTGGGAAGACTGAATCTGCAATAGGCAAGCAGCTTGGTGTGAACAAATCAACTGTGGGAGCAATAATTAGAAAATGGAAGACATACAAGACCACTGATAATCTCCCTCGATCTGGGGCTCCACGCAAGATCTCACCCCGTGGGGTCAAAATGATCACAACGGTGAGCAAAAATCCCAGGACCACACGGGGGGGCCTAGTGAATGACCTGCAGAGAGCTGGGACCAACGTAACAAAGGCTACCATCACTAACACACACTACGCCGCCAGGGACTCAGAATCCTGCAGTGCCAGACGTGTCCCCCTGCTTAAGCCAGGACATGTCCGGGCCCGTCTGAAGTTTGCTAGAGAGCATTTGGATGATCCAGAAGAGGATTGGGAGAATGTCATATGGTCAGATGAAACCAAAATAGAACTATTTGGTAGAAACACAACTCGTCGTGTTTGGAGGAGAGAGAATGCTGAGTTGCATCCAAAGAACACCATACCTACTGTGAAGCATGGGGGTGGCAACATCATGCTTTGGGGCTGTTTCTCTGCAAAGGGACCAGGACGACTGATCCGTGTACAGGACAGAATGAATGGGGCCATGTATCGTGAGATTTTGAGTGCAAACCTCCTTCCATCAGCAAGGGCATTGAAGATGAAACGTGGCTGGGTCTTTCAACATGACAATGATCCCAAACATACCGCCCGGGCAACGAAGGAGTGGCTTCGTAAGAAGCATTTCAAGGTCCTGGAGTGGCCTAGCCAGTCTCCAGATCTCAACCCCATAGAAAACCTTTGGAGGGAGTTGAAAGTCCGTGTTGCCCAGCGACAGCCCCAAAACATCACTGCTCTAGAGGAGATCTGCATGGAGGAATGGGCCAACATACCAGCAACAGTGTGTGCCAACCTTGTGAAGACGTACAGGACACGTTTGACTTCTGTCATTGCCAACAAAGGATATATATAACAAAGTATTGAGATGACCTTTTGATATTGACCAAATGCTTATTTTCCACCATAATTTGCAAATAAATTCTTCCAAATCAGCCAATGTGATTTGTCTGGATTTGTTTTCTCATTTTGTCTCTCATAGTTGAGGTCTACCTATGATGCCAATTACAGGCCTCTCTCATCTTTTTAAGTGGGAGAACTTGCACAATTGGTGGCTGACTAAATACTTTTTTGCCCCACTGTACCTTAATCTTACTGTATTCTTTGCCTTACAGTTGATCTTACAACTGAGGAGTTGCAGTCTACTGCTATTACTCCAAGATTAATGCAGTGCACACCACCCTAAACTAGCTAAACATATAGAGTACCAACCTGTTGATTCTACCAGTACTTCCCAGCCTTGGATCATTTAAAGCTCCCGAGGCAGCAAAGACTTTCCTTTTGCACCTGCTTTTCTAGCTTTTTATCTGTGGAGATTAGAAGCATCCTGGTATGTGCTCCCTCCAGATGCTTATTGGCCTTGTTTCCATTTGGTGAGGATTTTGTATGAAAGGGGTCTGTTCCCACTGTGGGTCCAGCTGTGGTGCATGTACTTGTCTTCAAAGACCCAACTGATAAGCGGTTGGAAGCCCGTATGTTGAGCCCTGTTCTTTCTGGTGGGTCCTGCCCTGCACCCAATCCTGGCTGTGAATTCCATTTGTCAAACCATGTCTGATTGGTAAGAATCCCTTAAAAATATATCAACCACTGTATCAATTACATCAATATATCAATTGCTGTAATTGACTCCTTGATTATTAAATGGCTCTAGCATTAAATCTCAGGTGTGACAGCTGGAAGCTTCTCTCATTTCCTGGATGTCAGTACACTGGAGGATGGAACTTTTTTTGCAAGAAGCTTTTGATCCACACAGCCTTCGAATAGATTTTGTCCCTTTTGGCTGGCTCTTGATTGTTTTCTCAAAGATGCTACTGGTGGATAGACCACCCATCTTCCTTAACAGAAGTTGTCTTAAGAAACACACCACAGTCGTCTCCCCCATTTTCTTTTAAGAAGTGTCCTTTTTGTTTTTCCACTCTTAACCCCACACCAAGACCCCCCAAGCTTGACCATCAGTGCACCTCAAGGTCTGGCACTCTGTCTGCAAAGCCACAGACAAGTTTGGGATGTGCAACCACTTTTCAGAGGGGGGTGGGGGGATGTATTTTAACCATAGTGGACACTTGAACAGTTTGCAACTCAGACGCATGGGTGCAGGTGGTGATATCCCAGGGACATAAATTAGAGTTTTGCTGCCTGCCCTCCTTGGGTTCTTACTCCAGCCTTCCTGTATGCACAGGATATCATATACTCATCAAGTTCTCCTCAGGTTTTCTTATTCAGGTCCATTTAGACCAACCAACTGCCTGTTTAGTGCGGGTACTGAGCCATTCAACTCAGTACGCTCTTTCGAGCCTGACAGTATTACCTTTCTTACCTATTGGTACTCCCATAAACAAGACTTTAAATGAGCACATTGAACCCACATAGTTCACACTCGGAATGCACCGATACTGGTTTTTCGGTATCGAGTACCGATATTTTTATTTCTGTACTCGACGATACCGAATACCGGAAGTCCCAGTAAGGAAGCCGGACGATGTGTAATGACTCTCCGCCCGGCTTTCTGAGTGACCAGGTAGCATGCTCCTCGATCACCAGATGACGAGGAAGAATGAAGCTGACTTTCTTGCCAATCAGTAAGCCGGGGGTAATGACTCCCTGCCCCAGGTTCCTGATTGGCCAGCTTCCGAGCCTAGTCATTACCTGGCTTCCTGATTGGCCGGGAAGCCAGCTCCATGCTCCCTGGTGAAGAGAGAGCATGGAGCCGTTTTCCCCCCCAACCAGGAAGCCGGGCGGTGTGTAATGACTCTCCACCCGGCTACCTGATACCAAAAGTTCCAGTATTGGAAGCATTTGGATGAGTACGAGTACTCGCCCAAATACTCTGTACTGATACTAGTATCTGTGCATCCCTAGTTCACACCATCCTTTTAAACACACTGTATCCCTAATACAAGTGGTTATATACATATGTAGTGCACCTAAATTGCAAATATTATATGTTCAGGCTTTTATTTTATTCATTTTTATAGCGGCAACAATATTTAAAGCAGTTTAGGGCAGCCATTTTTGATTATTTTGACTCGCATGAACCCTTGTTCAATGTTATGTTTTGGGGAACCCAGACTGCCCTTGGTATAAAATGATATCTATAGCTCATAGTGCAATAGCATGATTGGGAAATTGTATATATAATACATTAAAAAAATAAATTACGTAGCATGTTTGACACCCAGAGCACAACAATTTGAATACCCCTCTGCTCTAGAAAAGAAAATTATTTCCAGTTTAGTCATGAAATGAAACCATTAATATGATGAGAAGAGAAGGAATTGGTTTATGTTTTGAGAGAAGAAATGCAGACTGGCAGTTTGGGTTCCCCCTTTACATTGGCAGTCATCGGAGACATGCCACTTTAGATTAGTGGCCAGTGAAGAAGGTGATCAGTGGTAAAAGGATTTTCTTTCATTGTTGGTCAGTTGGAGGAGGGGCACTCCTTACACTGGTGATCAGTGGGAAGAGTGCTCTGTTACTTTGGTCATTAGTGGGGAAACATGTCCCTTAAATTGATGGTCATTAGGAAAAATGCTCTGAGTTTTAATGGTGCTGGACGTATGCCACTCCTCTCTGCTCAAGGAACCCCTTGCAACCCTAGTTAAGGAGGAATGCTTTAGCGCATCAGGACCACTCATTAGCTTCTCCCCACAAAGGAGCTTAAAGTGATATTAAAGTCCTTTTTTTTTTCTTTTCATTTCTCCTTTAAGGAGACCCTCCTTTGCTGGAGGCTGTTGTTGTTGTTTTTTTTTTTAAGTGCTTTCCTCATTTTCTAGTGTGTCCCCGCCATGCTCTTCCCCCTGCACGGGCGCCACCATCGGTCTAATGGAGGCACCCATGCACACTCGTCCCCGCAGCGGCTGTGTGTATCCATAGACACACACAGACCTGTGGCAGGCCACGCCCCTTCCTTCTTTGAGGATGCTGATGGCTCCTCTGCCATCAGCATCCTCACCCGCAAGTTCGCAGGATCGCTTCGGGACTGGCGGCGGGGACAAGCGCAGCTGAGAGGTAAGTGTGGGGGGGACTGGGGTAAAGAAGAAAGGTCCTGGACTATTGTTACCCTAATGCAGAGAATGCATTAAGGTAAAAATCGCCCAGACCTTAATACTACTTTAATTCTAGGGCCACTAACCCAGATGAACACGTTTTGGGGCTGTTTTTATTTTGACTCCTTTTCAGTTTCCCAGTTTGCCTTGTTAATGCAGCTGACAACAGGAGGTCATGTGGTAGACCAGGGGTGCCCACAAGGTCGATCGCGATCTACCAGTCGATCGCGTAGCGATCACTGGTAGATCGCCATGTCCTCTCCTCCCGCTTCTCTGGATCCCCGCTGCTCTCCCCAGCGGGGTTCCGAGAAGAAGTGGAGGAACCGGCGGCGGCGGGGGGGGGAGGGGGGAGCC